AGAACCTGAGTTTGAAACCAGCCTACTACATGGGGCAGGATGAACTGTTAATCAGGTTATCTACAGAAATCTCAACCAGTGGAGTCTGCTGCTATGGGTCTTGAAGAGTTATTTTTAAGAGCTTATAGACATGGAGTGTCTTTACTCTTGCACATGTTTGATTCTGTCCTGACTTTTCTTATTTATCAAGTGATAAATTTTTATATGCCTTTTAATTGTCCTAGATTAAAGGTATATGGGTTTGAGGAGGATTCAGTGTTGTTAAAACATTACTTAAAGCACTGTGTAGCCACAAAGCTCAACGTTTCTGATATTCTTCAGCATAATAATTTAATAACCCAAAATAGACATGAATATTTGTGGTCTTGATTAGTTAGAAAATTGCTGTACTTATTTTGGGCTTTTTAGAACTCCGTATGTGTACATTTTTTACTTTGCTGTAGTCCTTATTCTGAAAGGGGGATGACTTCGTTATGTATTTTTTATGACTAAACTATAATTGATCCTCCTGTGTCTTAATCTGTTCTCCTCCAGATCACTGATTTCATGAGTTTTCAGGATAGTACGGGTATGAAAACTTATAGTAACTACAGCAGTGTTCATGGGGAAATCTATTTTTACACAGGTTTTCTTGTCTTTACAAGATGCTTGAAAAACCAAGAGGATATGAAGATACTGTCTCTGGAGAAACAAAAACGCAGGCATACTCAGCCAGAAATCTGAGTTTTGTGAGGACTTGGTAACACAGATGGACAGTCGTGCTGGGGAAAGACAAAAATCCTGCTGAAGAGAGGACAGTGACCACAGAACTCAGTGTACCAAACATGCATATAAAGGACACACAGGGATTTTGAAAATGCTGCACATCCCTTAATAGTCATCTACGTAGGTAATACTGATAAACATTTTGTATTCAGACGCCAAAGTTAACTGATTTAAAAGTTGATTTACTTTTTATTAAGTTCTCCAGAGCTGCACAACTAGTTATGTTTTGATTTGTTTTATTGTTTAGTTTGGGATCTCTTTGTTTTCCCCAACATAATGTTTCTGCATTCATCTGTTCTTAAATTCAAAACATATAATTTACTTCTTATAAATTAAAGTCTTAAATGTGAAACCAAGAAATTTAATCAAGCAGTAAAAACATTCTCTGAATGTAGACCATGATTTCAAGTTCTTCCATTTTTTTTCCCCCAAGAGTGGAAAATAGACTTCTACATAGGAAAGCTATGTTAATATTTTTAAATTAAAGATTTAATATCAGAATGCAGTCCAAAGAGTAAATCACATTATATAATTACATTTTAATTAAATATAGAATACTCTACTGAATTGCAGTTTATTAAATATACTTATCCTCTTAAATAATACTGCTCAACAGTTAATCAGCAGTGAATCATCTTGTAGCTATGCAATTAAAAAAAAATTACAGATTACCAATTTTAAGTGCTGCCGGCTACAATAACTCTGTTTTAACGGGTATCTTTTGTTTGGTCTTTTCACGTAATTTATTGTGCTTTGCATCTCCAGGCAGTTCTCTCACATTTGGGTGAAATGTTTAGCGGGCTGTAAACTTAAGGGTAAAATAAAATTTTCTGAAATGGAACTTGGAATAATTTGAGGGAGGTTTTATATACCTTTAAAAATTGGAATTTAATTGGGATCCCAGATTTATAGCAATTTGCATCTTTAATTTTCCAGATAATCTGGAAGTTAGCGTTTGATAAATGATTTTTTAAAGCAGATATATTTTGTTTATAATTTATTCATGTGTTATTACTGTAATTGAAAATGTTATAGACACTTTTAAATTCAGTTTGTGTGGAAATGTGTTAAACAAAAATATGTGAATAAATTTTCCCACATAATACATCTGAATGGTTAAAAATACTGGAAGAGTTGTCAGGGCTATGATATTGAATGTCTTTTTTTTTTAATATCAAAAATATCGATAAGTAGGTTTTGTGTTTTCAACATAGGGAAAATGTTATCAATGAGTGGGCAGTGCACTTTACTTGGTATAACTGAAAGTTGCACAGTAAGTACTGTTTCCTTATTTTAATCTTTCTTTACTCCTAATGTATTTAAGAAGTTGCTGTTTTATTTAACGCTGCTACTCTTCTTCTCTAAATTTGTTCCCCTACTTTCTTGTTTCTGTTTCACATTTTTTAAAAGGGCAAGTACAGGAGCAACTGCTGCTACCCAGAAAAATTTGTATATTATAAATAATTAAAAGAGTTTTTAATTGCTTTCTGTATGATTCCAGATCAGATAACATTTTCCCTAAAGTTATGCTGTGAAATGCCTTTTGTTATGCTGCAATTGCTAAAGGAATCCAAAATCTCCATTGTGACAGCTGACAGCACAGTTTAATAGGTGCTTTTTAACTAGTTGTGGAAAATATTCTCCCCTTAAGGAAACTATTGTTTTTCTAAATTTTTTCTGTTACCATGAAGTCTTAATTTGAATTTATTTTACAATTTTGATTTTGTAAGCTTTCATATCCTCCTACCCAACCCCCTCAAGTAAAACCTCTTAGAATGTGAGTAATTGATTTGTTTTCTATTACTGATATACTGTTGTGATCAGAACTATTTTGTTGTCTTCCATTCTGAAAGGAAGATATTTATACAACTGTGGGGATTAACTATATTCTCCTGGTAGTCGATTTTCTCATAGGTTGATGCAAAAGTCATTGCAAAAACCACCATTACTTTTGCACCAATTTAATATTTCACTTGTTTACTTTTTAAACTATATTGACTTAAATTCACTTTTTAGCCCCTCTTTGTCATAAGGTTCTGTGCTGCATCTGCTACAATAGAAGCTCCTGTGGTTTTAAAGAAAGTTCGTTGTTTGTCAGTGTCAAGTGCTACTTAATTATTATATTTCTCTGAAACAGTATTCACTTAAATCTGTTTATAGCAATCCCTATTTGGCAAAATTTACAAAAGTTGGCATTTTGACTTTAAATTCAGTCTCTATCAGTAACTTACTAAAAAGAGCAGCTTAGAAATAAGGGGGAAAAAAGTTTTTAAAGCCCAAATGCTCCAGTTTTTATTCAAAGTCAAAGCTGTTATTCTGGAAAATACAAGTAATATTCTATATAATGTCACTTAAAATATTTGTAAATCTATTATGCAAACACTGAATAGTATAAGTAAGACATAAAATCACAATAGATACTTAAATATTTAGCTGAAACTACTGACAACTAATTATTATGGGGGACACAATAAAGATTGAAAGCCTGGGTTATCAAGTTGGTTTTTGCTTTCTAGAATCTTTGTAAATACTCATATCCAAATAAGATCACATGTGCATATATAGAAAGCAGTATGTTCTGAAATTTCACTCTAGTGCCACTCTTTGTCCATAATGGATTTATTGCCTATTTTGAATCCTCATCTTACCTTGATCTGGCTTTTTTTTTTTTTTCCTTGCCAGAATATTGAGGAGAAAGTAAAATTCTGTTTTAGTTTTGGCCTTTTATCAGAGAAATAGACAAAGCATAGTCTTAATATGTGTTTTTCAGATCTGGTTACAAGATGGATTATAGATTGTGTTTTAAGAGCAATGTTGTGATTGAAATATAAATAATGGCATACTGGTTTTTTGTGATAGCAGAAACAACATTAAAAAGGTCATGTTACATAATATGCAGGTTTTGGTTTCTTAGTGCAAGTCTTAATTTGTTTTAAATGTTACATAGTTATTTCAGTTTTCACCCACTAGACACTTTACTAGAATGTAGCCCCAAAAGGACTGAGGGCCAGCCTCAGCATATCTGCCCTATGTATTTCAAAGATTATAGTCTGAATGAGTTAATGAAAATGGGAGGTTCCTTTTCAAAGCTTATTTGACTCACAGACATATTATTAAGTTTGGGTATAATGAAGTTTAAGAACAATCACTTAAATTAATACCTTATAGCAATGCTGATATTGTTTTAAATGAAAAAGACTGTAAATCCAATGTATATGTTACCTAACCTTATTTAACAAGTTAGGAGAGTGGAAGAGGGGAATTTTTCCAAAAATAAGCTATTGAACAAAGGATGAAACTTTTTTTTTAAATTTAAGAATAATTGAATTTACCATCTAATTGACATTCATACTGTGTATGGATAATAATATCCAAAACAACTTATTCTTTCACAGAGGAAGTTCTCATTTAAATCAGATTGCTGAGAACTATATAAAACTACATAGAAGTAAATGGTGCTTTTTAAATATGAGTATAGTTTGTTAGTTGCTAGAAGTCTTCTAGTTCATTTGGACCATTTTCTTACAATTTTGATTCATCCTGAGGTGAACTCAGTATATGTTGACAATGAGTGGTTAAATGTGAAGTGCCCTTTTTCAGTGTCCCTTGTTCTTGTACAGGTATTTTCTTAGTTTAAAAAAAAAAAAAAATTCTAGCATGCCAACATTTTCTCTTTGGCCTATTCCCTTTTTTCTGAAGTGTATAACTTCTGATTTTTTCTTTGCTATGTTGTGAATAACAGTAGTTAAATTCTCTGTTTTATTATCAACTTTTCTTTTCTCTCCAGATCTTTGTATTCTAAAACTAAATTGCTTGGTTTTCTTTAGAGGAAATTGCCACTTCGTATACTCCTAGTAGTGATTCATAGTCAAGAATAGCTGGTAAACCTTTCTAGGTAATAACATACAAATAATACTTTGAGTATCATATTTTGTGAATCCCCTGCTTAAGCGAGGAAACAATATTCTTTTTAAATCATAGAATTCCTGTATTAAATGTGAAATACACGGTCTCCAAAGTCAGCTGATGCTCTATGGAAAATGAAAGGCATTGGAGGAGACCAGATATGTTAATACTTAGTTTTAGTTGAAAATGCAACATTACTGTACTTAGTGGGGGGGTTGGTTTAATTTTAGACCAATGACTAAATAATAAGAGAGATTTTTGGTTGCTCATTTAGAGAGAGACAGAAACAGCATGGCGTAAACTAACATCCCAGAAATAAATGAAAAATTTTAAATGATAAAATTTTGTTGTCTATAAACCAGTGTTATCTATGAACTAACATTGTGTTTCTTAGCTCTGATCTGAACATTGAGGTACCTGTCTTGGCACTGGAAATGACAAAGTTCTGTTACTGAATTCCCATGCCTTCCTTTTCTGACTTAGTAGGTTGAAATTGGTAGGTACTGTTGATTTATGTTTGATAAATTTACAGTTCAGCTTATATCCTGTTATCAGTAAACCTGGTACCAGAATCTTAAAAGATTTGATTATTCGTAGCATTTCGAGTACCTATCTGCATAAAATATAGTTAGCAGACCTTTACAGAAGTCAAAAGAGACTTTGGAATTTGATGATATTGGTCTTTATTACACTAGTTTATTACATTTTCTTTCTTTATAGTAACTGTTTTTGTGAGTTTCATTGAAAGTCATGGCTCTATTGCTTTATTCATGGTTTCCACAACTCTTTCTGTAAAATCTTAATTTTCTCTATTAGGTAAAGTATTTTTCTATTAAATAAGATATCAAAAGCATCAATCACAAGACATAGAGAAAATGAATTGGGAACAACTTGTATTAGTGTATTCTAAACTAAAATGGAAAAAACTCATTCATATTTTAATAAATAAAACTTCCAGATGATCTTGCTAAATTACCCCATTATTTAGAAACAGAAAGAGAAGAATGTTTTCGAGGAAATTTGTCATATTCTCTCTTCTATCTAGAAGTTGACAATAAATTGCAGTAAAACTAAGAAATAACTGAATGCTGAAAAATACCATGAATTAATTAATGTTATGGCTTCTTTATTTTTCTATATTCATTCCCAGAAAATTGAATTTAAAATTATTAATAAAAATTTTATAATAAGTAATAATGCTTATATTAGTAATGGGCAAGGAAGTCTTTCATTGTTACCTTAACCACAAGTAAAAGATGTACTTTGACATTTCTATTGTAAAACCTGTATGTAAATGTTGTAATTGAAATATGATTGGACAGCTGTTAAATTTTGGGGAGGGAAGCCTCTGCTTCTATGCCAGCGTGCCAAAATGGCTAAGATGCCAGCGTTCTATACTGAAAAGACAAGATGGCACTTCATGGACCATAGCAGATGGAACTGGAGGAGGAAAAGGCAGACAGAGGACTGTGCCAGTATTATCTGTCCAAGATTGAAGAACTCTAGGGTCAGCTGCAATATAAGTTGGATAGGGGAAAGCCACAAGGGACAGTTCTGAACTCCAGGTGCATTTGTAACTGATTGTAAATGATAAGGCCTAAAATCTTTGGAGGCAGCAGGTACACAGGAATGAACTAAATGCTCAAGTGTGCCTACTGTGAGAGGAGCTACAGCTGCTGCAAGAACAGAACTTCTGTGTCAGGGAAGTAGTCCAGGCCATGACTAAGAAGAAAGTGTTGGTCCAGGTGCATCCCAAGGACAAGTTTGTTGTAGATGTAGACAAAAATATCAGCATCAGTGATGTGACACCCAGTTCCTGGGTGGTTCTAAGAAATGATAGCTACACTTTATACAAGATCCTACCCAACAAGGTGGACCCATTGGTGTCAATGATGATGGTGAAGGAAGTTCCAGATTTGACTTATGAAATGATTGGCAGACTGACTGGACAGGCAGATGAAGGAGATCAAAGAAGTGATCGAGCTGCCCAAAAAGCATCCCCAGCTCTTCAAAGTGCACTGGGCATTGCCCAGCCCAACGGAGTGCTGCTTGGAAGACACTGTTGGCCTGGGCTCTCTGGCTCATCATAGGGACTGTACCTTTATTCATGTCTCTGGCTCTGAATTGGGACAGAAATTCATTGGGGAATTCCTGTCATGACAGAGAAAATGCTCATCTGTCATCTTCATGGATGAAATCGACTCCATCGGCTCCTCTCAGCTGGAGGGGATTGCTTCACTGGAGGGAACAGTGAAGTGCAGCAGACGATGCTTTAAGGATGGCTTTGAGGCCACCAAGAATATCAGGGTTTATCATGGCTACTAAAACGATTGATATCCTGGACTTGGCAATGCTTTTTCCAGGGGACATTGAGAGAGAAATTGAATTGCCACCCTGCAATGAGGAGGCCCTGCTGGACACTTTCAAGATTGATTCTCAGAAATGAACCTGACCAAGGGAATCAACCTGAGAAAAATTGCTGAGCTTATGTCAGGAGCATCGGGCTGAAATGAAGGGCATGTGCACAGAAACCAGCCTGTATGCCCTGAGGTAATAGCGAGTCCATGTCACTCAGAAGGACTTTGAGATAGTGGTAGCCAAAGTCATGCCAGAAGACAGTGAGGACAAACACATCCATCAAGAAACTGTGGAATTGAGTAGACATCTGTTGTATGTATCCCTACAATAAAGCTCTATGGAACAAGCAAAACAAAACAAAAAAAAATGTTTTGGGGAGGGGTGGTCTGCTATTGATTATTGCATAATCAATAACTTGTAAAATTTAGCTTGTATTTAGTAACATTTCATTATGTTTTGAAAAGAAGAGTAAAAAACACCACGGTTTTCATGATGTAAAAGGTATTGAGTTTCCTAGCATAAGAACATGAGTTCTGGAAAAAGTCTTAGGGACATTGAACAAGATAAAGGTCCCCTCCCCCACTTTGTTTGTAAAAAGAGATACTAATGCCTACATCAGAGTTGGTGTGAGGATTAAATTAAAAAGTGCATGTATATAAGCACCAGACACATAGTAAGCACTTAATAATGTTAGTGGCTAGTATAAATAATAAACACATTCTCTCCAGTCATGAGGTGTAGTCATAGTATCTAAGACCTTAACTGAAGTGTTTAAAGAAGCCTAGGTGTAATGGAGAACATTATGGGTGCTGATTTCCACTCTGACTAAAATATAGTGACTTTGCTGTATCAGCAACTATAAAGCACTACTTGATTCTGTAGATTGTTACAGACCAAGAATGTAGAAATGAGATATTTGATCTCTAGGAACTGAATTTTTAGTGGGTAAAACAAGCAAGCATGTAATAGAGAACAATAAAAGCTGTGATAGACACATGTACAAGGTACCATAGAGGTATAAAGGAAAGTTATTCAACTGAGACTAGGCAAGAGAGTGATTAAACTTAAGTATTTAAGAAAAAATAGATCTTAGCTCTAAGGGATGTGGAACATGCAAAGCAGAAAATTTGGGAAGAGTATTCCCAAGGCAAAAAGCTTAGCACATACACAGATAGGAGAAAAGTGTGACACTTTATGAGTTACTATGTTGGCCAGGCACGGTGGCTCATGCCTGTAATCCCAGCACTTTGGGAGGCCGAGGTGGGGTGGATCACCACCTAAGGCCAGGAGTTTGAGACCAGCCTGGCCAGCGTGGTAAAACCCCATCTCTACTAAAAATACAAAAATGAGCCAGGTGCAGTAGCATGCATCTGTAGTCCCAGCTACTTGGAAGGCTGAGGCATGAGCCCAGGAGGCAGAGGTTGCAGTGAGCTGAGGTCATGCCACTTCACTCCGGCCTGGGCAATAGAGTGAGACTCTGTCTCCAAAAAAAAGTTGCTATATCCAAAGAGGTAAACAGGTGTTAAGTCATGAAGAGATTTATTTGTTAAACTACATTTGAAGGATTTGAAACACGAAAAAGATAATCACATTTATACTTAAGATTACAGAGGTATGAGATTAGAGGCAGAGAGACCTGTCAGAAAATTTATACCAATTCAGGCAAGATGAGGGGCAGAACTAAAGCAATGAAAATAGGGAAAGCAAGGACAGAAGAACAAAAGTTAAAAGATTTAGAGAGCAGACTTGACCCATCTGGGTAGTCATTTGGATACAAGGGATGAAAGACAAGACCAGGACAAGTTCTAGTCCATTGTATTGCCAGTGCTGCACGGCCTGGAGGCAGCACAGTGCATCACATGGTGAAGGAGTTCACAAGAGGGAACCAAACTAGCTTTCATAACAGACCCACTCGTGATAACTAACCCCATCCCTTGATATAACCCATTAATCCATGCATAGATGAATCCATTTTGGGGGATATAGATAGCCCTCATGACCCAATCACCACTTAAAGACCCCACCTCTTAACACTGATATATTGGGGATTAAGTTTTAACATGCGTTTCAGTGGGGACAGACATTCAAATCATAGCAGTGTCTGTTAGGGTACAAGAGGTGTCTCCACCCAAATGTTCCCAGCGCTTTTTAGGGAGTCAGTAAGTGTGTGATAAGTGGGATAGCTGAGCTAGTTAAATCATGTAGTTTGGTTGGGTTGGACTTTTCCTCGTGTCCCTTCCCTGCTTAGCTGTAGCTGCCTGTTGGAATGCAGCCATGCTTTCCTGGGTTTGCTTAGTGAAATGCTGAGATGCACTCTGAAGCATTCTTGAGGTTTTCTCTTTGGTTCATGTGTCCCATACTCTTTCTATTATATCAGTCTTCTCAGATCTTCATTACCCAGGTAAATCTACTATTGGAAGCAGGGTCTTGTAGAAGTAGACATATGGGAAAGATAGAGCCTGCTGTCCTGATGGATGCTGCTGTTAAGATAGGTTGGGTTAGCCTAGGTAAGAGGAGGACCAGAAGAGATTTTATGACTTCTTGGAAAGCTATGAGTTGCTGCTGGCCCCATCATAATCTGTTTTGTTTAACAAAAGTCAGAAAATGAATACTGGTAACGCTTACATTTCTTTCTTGGAAGAGCGGCAGAAACGTTGGGATATCCTTGGGGGTCAAGGAGATAACTCTGCTCATGGATTCCCTAATTTTATGCCACATATTCATGGAAACATCAGGTTTTCACAAGTTTCTCTTAGAGTTAACTTAGGACTTCCTAGACCAAGAATTCCTACAATACAAGGCCTGTGAAAATATAAACTTAATACCTGACAGGGATATATCCAAAGATGTCAGAGCCCTGTATTTATAAATATTATCACATGGTTTAAGATTCGACTTCCCACATAAAATGAGTAAAAATAACAATGATTTTTCTGCAGTATTTTAATGATGCTATAATTATAAAGCAGGGTTTTAAAATTCTGCTTTGTAGTAGTGCCTTATTTTTATAGTAATGTTTTCTATGAACTTTTGCATTTAATGTGTATTATTCTAGGAGATTTAAAAAGTATGTAACTTAAAAAATATCTTTCCAACAAAGTCAGCTTGAGATTTAATACTTTTGGTTTGGTTTGATCATTTGGTGGTAAGATAACTGGTTGGACAACTGAACATAGATTATTCAGTGTTAGCAAATACAAATTTATGTTTCAAAAAAGTAATAACTGTATATCATAAAAGCCTGCATGTGTACCTTTCAAGGTAGCACGTTAACCCTTGGAATATCATTAAATCTGTAAATGCTAAGGTTATTCAAATAGATGATGTCCATCAAATGGTATACACAGTTCATCTGTTGTTGAAATTCAAATGTTGCAAAGGCCAAAGGTATTTACATATGCAAACTATGTAAATAGTTTTACATAGTTGTTTTAGCATGTATTTAAAAACTCTATAAAGTGATACATTGCATTCTTTTTTTAGTCTTTGAAATCTGGTGTGTATTTTACACATACAGCACATCTCTATTCAGGACTATAGCCACATTTTAAGTGCTCAAGAGTCATACGTGACCAGGGGCTACTGTACTGGACAGCAAAAGTCCAGATGACTCTGGGAGACTTTTTCTATTCCTAGCCTTACCCGAATATTTCTGAAGACCTTCTAATTCCAACTTTGTGAAGACCCTTGGGTCTCTTTCAACATTTATTTAACTGCTGTACATGAGCAGAATTTGTCCTAAATTATTAAGTTGAGGCAGTTTTCTCATTTTTTAATGAAAGTTCTGGAAATACCTTTAAAAGGTTGAGGGTCTAATGAATCTTCATGTACGTTCATAGATAGCATTGGCTTTCTTTGTGGTTATGGTGTTTGGTGAGGACATATGGGCTTTGAATCCCTGGTCAGTTTTATAGTTAGGAAGTGTCTGTGAGGCTTTGGCCAAAAAATCACCAGGAATTGTGAGTGATGCTGATGAATAGCTCTAGTCATATTTGTTCCTTGCGTTGAGTTCTATGGGGACATTTTTATGGGTTTCAGACCTTCCAGCTATAGTTGGCTTCCTGCGCACGTCAATGCTTAAACTGTTAAACTTGTCCACCAAACCCTCAATTCATAAAGCTGACTCTTCAAAATCCAGCATAAGAGGCACCTACTAGTCATTTCTAAACTGTCTTCAATAAGATGTTCATAGTTTAGTGCCTAGATGTTCATGTGTGCTCATATGCTGTGTTGAATGGAGCTAGCTGGTAGAGATTGGCAGGGAGGTTGTATAAGGCTGGCATACACAGTGGGAAGACAGACATTACATACATCATCTTTGGGATTCCCATAAGCCAATGGTTCTCAATTCTTGGCTAAACATTAGATCAACTCAGGAGGGAGGAAGGATGTATAGAGGCATCTCTTTAAATATATTAAGGTCATGGTCTCACTACAGAGATTCCAAGTTAATCTAGTGTGATTCTGTTGTATAGCCAGTGTACAACCTATCAAAGGTTTTCTCATACACCTCAAAAATGGGTCAACCTATGAAGAGGAAAGGGTGCCAGCAATGTCTCAGACCTCTGCAACTGAACTCTAGCTATATTCCTTTCAATTTTCTTTCCTGCTTGATCAAACTCTTGACCCTTTTTGGTTGAGAAAACTGCTCTGGCATCGTTATTCATTCTCCCCAAATCTGGTTCATAGGACAAATTGTCTAATTCAGCCAGGCTCTGATCCTTGATTTTCACAATAGAATTGATAGATTCCTAAGAGCTCTTTCTACCTCCAGAATGGCTCTGACAAATCAAAACCCTTTAGCTTCCAGACACTTCTCTTCCTTTCGATTTAAAAAACTTGACTTAGACATTCAAAATAATATCTTTGATTTGTCCTCATTTTCTCTCCCTGCCGAAGCAGACCATCAATGAGTCACTGAATAAAATGCTGTAAGCAACTAGGAACACAAACTAGGAATGAAAAATGTAGTAGTTAATAATTCAGAAGTAGTGTTCTGCTACACTCACATCAATCACTAGAAAGCTATTGAAGTTTAAGTATGTAACTCTAGTCTGATTTTCATTCTTCAAGTTACCTTGGTAATCTTCAGAAATCTCTGTCCCTGAAGGAGAATGTGTATTGGAGTTACTTGAACTAGAACGCAGAGTGAATGGCAGTGTTGGTTCATTCATTTAGCACATATTTCTTGAACATTCAATAGATGGAAGACACTGTGTAAGACACTACATAAACATTGATGGGGGAAAAGGATAGTGCCTGCCCTAATGGGGCTTAATCATTTATAGTATCACAAACCTCTAAAAGGCTGTTTGAAACCTAGTTCTTGAATAAGTATTTGTGTCAGTTCTTACAAGGTATGAGGTTATTAAGGTCATTGGAAAACCCCTTATTTGACTCTGTGTCCGGTAAGACTTTTATACCTTATACCAGACCTTCCTGTGTGTCAGTGCTGCTGAAACAAAGGAGAAAGTAGGTGAAAGTACTGCAAACACTAGGATCGAGGTAGAGCCAGCCAGACACAGATTTCCTAACTTGTTTCTACTTTTAGAGGGCTATTTCATCAGTAAGAATAGTATTATATTTTTAATCTGCTTTTTCTTCATTGCTTTTTAAAGGCAACTTTTTTTTTTTAAGTAATTTATATTTTTTTGAGACAAAGTCTTGCTCTTGCCCAGGCTGGAGTGCAGTGGCGAGATGTTAGCTCACTGCAACCTCCATAAAGGCAACTTTTTATTAAGCTACAATTTACATGCAACAAAAACATTATGCATGTACAGTCTGATTAATTTGGACAAGACCTATATACCTGTGTGACTATCACCACAACCAAAATAGAGAATATTTTCATCACCCCTGAAAAGATACTTCAACTCCCTTAATTGTTGGTTCCCACCCATCAACCTACATCGACCTGTTCTATGTCACTGTGGATTAGATGAAATCATTCAGTATATACTTTATTTGTGGAAA